CACCTTCCGCCGGCTCTTAGCACCCTTCTGGGCCTGGGAAGAGACCAGGGCTGCCAGGCCCTGCACCTTGGGCAGTGGGGGGCGGTGTGTATGCGTGGAGCTCCTGAACCGGGAATTTGACAGGTGGAATGAAACTGGAATCACCTCGAGCCCACACTTGGGCCCTGACCCGCAGCTGTGGGAGGCTGAGGCGGGGGCGCTCCTGAGGGCTGAGCTTCCAAAGCCCGCTCCATCCCGGAGAAGGGGTGTCACTCTGAAAGCCCAGGCTGGACACCCTCGGGTCCGAGCACCAAGTGCGAGGGGGCCTCTGGACGGATGCAGGGGGGACCCGGGGAGGGGGCTGTTGCAAGGTTATTCCCTTCAGGTACTAGAGCAGGGATGGCCCGCGTGCTGTGGCCAGCAATGCCGGTTAGTCAGTCAGTCCCAGCACTAGGCTGCACGTGGATGCAGCCTCAGAAGCCTTCTTAACCCAGCATTCCGGCAGGTCACTGTCATTTAGTAGATTTGCATGCCATACTTGAAACCCACTGACATCCTGAAAAGAGGATCACGTGGGAGAGAGTCAGCATCCAGTTAGTGTCAGGCATGGGGCCAGGACCCCTAGCCGGGCACGCGTGGCAGGGTTCTGACAGCAGGAGTGTGCCAGGGCCGGGTGGGATCCGTCAGGGCCGGCAGGCGGGTGGGGGTGGGAGGTCTGCTGGGACTACATCTGACGGAGCTGACCCTTGCTGAACCCCCCGAGCCTGAGAGTGGGCCTGACAAAGGAGACGGGGCCTCTGATTGGCCAGATGGGCACTTGGGTTCCTCAGAGCGTGCCCCCAGTGGTCATGTTGTGGGGAGCTGCCTTCGTATCTGATGCCGGGACCCTCCTGGCGGCTCGGCTCGATGGTAGGTGAGAACTTTCCAGCAGTTGGAGCCTCAGGATACGAGAGGGTGTCACCCTCCAGGGAGACAGCAGTGCTGTTGGTCAAGGTGGCCTGGGGGACAGGGGTGTCAGTTGCAGAAAGGCAGGACCCTGGCGGGGGGAAGTTGGCTGGAGATCCCCCAGCCTCCCCCAGAGAGTCCTGGTCGTCTGGTTGGCTGGCCACAGCCCCCCCACGCCCCCAGACCTGGCCTCCCGGGAGACTAGGAGGGTGGCCCCTTGGAGGGCAGGGTCGGGAGGGTTGTGGCCCCCAGCCTTGGTGGAGCAGAGGTTCCGGGTCTGGCCTGGGGCACGTGGGGAAGTGGAGCAGGGAGACCTGGGAGCGGGGAGGTGCTGCGGGGTGGCCCGAGGGCCCCACTGGAAGAGGAGGGCCGACACGGGGTACAGGGGCTGCCCCTCCTTCCTCTCTGGCTCAGAGGCTTGCCGCAGACCTTGGGTCCTCCCAGGAACCCGCCTCTTCACTGGGGTGTCGGGAGAAGCCCCACACTCCGTTGGCCCCCATCTTCTTTCCCGTGTTCCCATCCCCTTTGTGCTTCAGACCCCGCCTTCGGAGCAGCCCCTACTTGGGGAGGGGTCCCTGCTGCCCGCTCTCCTCCTGCCCACTCCCCACACTTCCCACCAGCACCCCCGACCTTCCCGGATAGCCAGCGAAGACCCAGGAGATTCCGGGAGGGGTCGCGGTATGTGGTCACTTTGCTCCCCAGTAGCCCGGGGACCTGGTATGTGCCGCTCCTACCCAGCGCCTGACCCTTTTTGCTTCGTTACACTCGTCGGGCAATGGCCTTGACCCTTTGTCCCCTGTTGTCCCTTCTGCCATGGGATTAGGTTGAGTCTCCTGGCCGCTCACAGCAGCGGGGGCAGGATGGAGGGGGTCCACCGTGAGATGCCCACGGAGGCCTGGGGCCCCTCCGCAGAGCTCATCAAGGCCTTCCGGGGCCTTGAGGGCGGTGGGGGCCCAGGGATGGGTCTGGGGCCGGCCCCCCCCCCCACTGTGGGCCGTTGCTTTACACAAATTTGCCATCTGTCCCCTAAGGTGGTCACAGTAGCCCCAACCCCTAGGGGTACGAGGTTGGGGGAAGGGGGTCGCAGACTGCGCTGTCCCCTGCAGGAGTGTGGGGCTGAGGAGCTCTGGTCCTGGGTTCCTGGGTGTCCAGCCCCGCCCCGCTCCCTGCGCCTCGAGCCCTCCTGACGACCACAGCCCCCACGTTCGCCCCCACCATAGCCCCTTCAAGGACCCGGCCGATGCCCTCTCAGAACAGCTGCTCTGGTTTGTAAAATCATGCTTTATTTTCTTCAGTTCAGAGAGGATGATCCTGTTGGGGGACCTTTCTATGTCAGGACTGGGAGGCCCGAGGCCCCCCTTCCAGCACCCCCCAGCCCGGCCCATGCCCCTTCTGCTGCTTCTTCCTTCTCCGCCTCCCCAGCCTGAATCCCCGCCCTGGGGTCTCCGAGGGGAAGGCTGGAGGTGGGAGGGGGCCCCTGCTCCCTGGTCCGGACGGCCACCCGCTCAGGCTCCGAAGGAGAGGGACACCCCCAGCTGGCACCCTCACGCTGCCCCGACAGGGCGCCGCGGGAAGGAGTTCACCACTCAGCCAGCTGAGCGCCTGCTCCCCAAGAGGGCGGGTGGGCGGCAGACCCGGACCTCCCGAGGGGTCATGGGGGGGTCCATGCCCGGGAAACGGGTTCTGGGAAGGAGGAATTTACAGACTTCTGTTTACCAAAACGAGGCCCGTAAAACATTTAACAGCAGGCGATTAAAAGGGGACAGCTGTGGAGGTTCAGCTACGCCCCCCCTTGCACCCCCCCGTACAGCACACACAGGCTTCGGCCCCCCTGCCCCGCTGCTCCCGTCCCCGGCCCGCTCTCAGCTTTTGTCAAGGCTTCCAGGAGCTGAGTTTAATCTAGGGAGCAGCTGTTCCAGATGCGTCTCCGCACACAAACCAGGCCAGTTGGCCAGGCTCTCCGGACCCAGCCCTGCCCTCAGCAGGAGGGGCTAGAAGGGGGCAGGCCGTGGCGGCGGTTGGCACATTTCCTGAGTCCCCAGAGGAGCCTGGGGATGTGAGCCCTAAGCAGGGAGACCTCTAGGGCCTCTGGAGCCTGCAGATGGGGCTGGTGGACTGGGGTGCTTCGAGTTTGTGGGGCCCGAGACACGTTCTGCCTAGAACATTCCTTGGGGAGGGGACTCGACAGCTTCACCTCGGACCCACTGGGCCAGAGAACATCAAACGGCATCATTAGGGTCTGGGGGGGTGGCCTGCCTCTGCCGCAGGGCCCACTGGGATCGGAATGCAAGGCCACCCCATGTGGACTGGGACTCTGCTCCTGGGGGATCCCGGAGTGCCCCCGTTTGATGCTGGCCGTGTTCCAGTCCAAACTCTGCTTCTGCAGCTCCATTCTCAGCCTCTGAGCTGAGTGGTACAGCCTGGCCCATGGTAGCTCGGCTCCCCCTTAGCCTCAGGCCTGGCGAGGGGCCTCCCGGGCCCCTGATGCTCACAGTGGGCTCCGGGCTGCCCCCCCCCATGTACCTGCAGCTGTAGCTGCCCCCAGCACTGAGATAGAGCCCAGACCCCACCAGCTTCCACCCTGCCCCCCGGCAGCCTCGGCATCCCAGCAGGCCCACCTCAGGCCATGAGCCAGTGCCCCAGGCCCAAGGACGTGGGGCCGGGAGGTCGGTCCTGTGGTTCTGACCCTGCCCCTTCTGGAAAGGTGTTTCCCACAGGATACTCCGTGGAGTGCTCAGCCACCAGCTGTTACAAGGAATGTTCCACTGGGGCAGCAGAGGGGTCGGTCATAAATGGAGTTTGGAAAACAGTTACTGAGCGAGATGGAAGGGACTCCACTGTGACGCACTAGGAGTGGGTGCTGCTGCCCCTGGTCCCCAGGCGTGGGGCTCCCGTCGTGGCTATGACAGGCTCTCTCCTGGGGCCCTGGCCTGGCCTGCCCTCTTGGGACAGCAGTCTGCAGGGCCCCACCACAGCTCCTCCCTGGGGAAGCCCCTGGATGGTTGCTCCCTCCCAGGAGCCAGTCGCTCTTGGGACAGTCATGGAGTCCCCAAAAGAAACTCCTACAGAGCACGCTTTCCATGGAGAAAAAGTTCAGAGCATTGGTCGAAGCTCGAGTCTTAGAGCAAGACTGTGTCCTGCCCGCCCCAGCCTGCCGGCGACCCCTCCCTGCTGGGCCAGGAGTTACAGCGGGGAAGGGCCGCCTTCAAGGCGGCTGGTGGCTCTGGGCATCCAGCAGACACGCCTGTGCCTGCCCAGGGCACTAGGGCCGGGCCGGGCCTCCCAGGCCGCGCTAACTTCTGTTTGTCTTCAGCCCTCTGGGGGCAGTGAGTGTGTGCGTCCCAGGTGGCTGAAGCCCCCAAGGTCCAAGGCAGGCGGGGGGCGTGGGGCAGGGTGTGGCTGGCATTCTTGTGCTGGGCAGGGCCAGGCCCTGAGGACAGTTTAGGCCCCAGGGGGGACAGAGAAGGGCCTGCCTGGCATGACTCAGAAGTGCCAGGGAGGGTCTCCGGGTTGGGGGCCAGCTCCCTCTGTAGATCTCCGAGCACAAAGGAGGCCCCGCCAGTGGAGAGCCCGCGGCGCCGGCAGCCTCCAGCAAGACGGGGCTCGGCCACAGCCCTCCTGCCCAGCCCAGGGCATGGGCTGCCCGACCCGGGGGCTGCCCGGTAGCTCGGACGGCGCAGGCCAAGGTGGAGTCTGGCCCTGGCCATCCTGGCTGGCAGTCGGACCGTGTCCAGCGTGTGCGTCCTCCCAGGATGCCTCTCCAGCGCCTCTTGGTTGCCCTGCCTCAGAGCTCCCGCGCTGCCGAGCGCTGCTGGGGAGGAACCACAGGCACCCCCTCCATCCTCCTCTCCCAGCCCATCAGCAATTCAATTTGTGCCGCACCAGAGGGATGGTGTTAGTCGAGTCAGAGTTAATACGATGTATTGATGGGTTGATTTCCCACCGGCCGACTATGCACCAGGCTCCGCAGGGCGTCGTCCCTGGGCTGCCCACCACCTCTCACCTCCCTGGGGTCAGGGTGGGTGTGGGCCTGGGCCTTGGAGGTGCCTCTGCAGCCAGTCTCCTTGCTTCTCTAGCTCCAGCGTACCCCAGATTTTCGGGGAGTCTGGCATCCACCTTCCTACCCATGAGCCACTTGGATCACCATGGAAACAGCAATGTTCTCTATGGGCAGCATCGTTTCTATGGAGCCCAAAAAGGCAAGTGCCGGCTTGGGGCCGTGCTGGGGTCTGGGGCACAGGGCATCCTGGAGGGTGGGACAGGGTGGGGCCGGGGGCTTCTGGGGCACTGGGTAAAGGCGGCCAGCCTGGGCACACCTACGCCCCGGGTCTCAGGCCACGGCGACGTGGGACTGGGGGAGAGTGAGCCTGCTTCTCAGGCTCCCGGAGGACTAAAACTCCCAGGAGCATGGCCAAGAGGCAGGTTACGTGCTGGGCCTGGGTGAGCACTCTGAAGACCCAGCCACGCGGCCAGGACCTTTCTGGCTGCCGTGGAAGGATCTGCAGGAATCGCTGTCCCGAGGGGTGGAGCTCAGCTCCCGCACGTCTATTTCCTGTCCACCACTGCCTGGGCAGCTTCGGGGGAAGATGCTGTTGGGTAGGGGTGGCGGAGGCCCCCAGGAGCCTGGGCTGGCGGCCTCACTGAGCTGCATGAGGCCCAGGCCCGACTGGCACACCAGGGCCTCGGGTCAGACAGAGGCCGCAGGCGATGTCTCCCTGCAGACGAGGAGGGACTGTCCCTCCATCAGCGGAAGGGGGCCTCCAGAGGTGCCCGTGGAGAGGGGACGCTGAGGTCGGGGCTCTGCTGAAGAGAGGACGGGGCTGGTGGGGCCGTGGGGAGGGGTACGTGCGAGCATGCTCCCCCATGCACACGCACACACTCGTGCAAAGGCCCGAACTCCAGGGCGTGGATCCCCTCAAGGAGCCCGCGGGAGGTGTGGCTGCCTGGAGAAGGGACAGGTGTGGGGAGTGGCTGGAGGCTGTCGTGCCCTGTCTTGAAGATTTTTCCTGGGTGGAGTGACATCTCATTTGGGTTTTAGAAAGGGCTCTCTGGGGTGGTGCCCAGGAGATGGGCAGGGGGACCGTTGGATTGGTTATATGTTTCAGATGACAGGTGGTGTAGACTTGAATTGGGGCCCCCATTCATGGCCAGGCTGTGGGAAGAGCGGCTCAGGGTGGGGGGGTCCATCTTCCACACAGAGGGACTTTCCCAGCGGTATCCAGGAGGTGGCCGGACACTCGTGGTGAGGGTCGGTGCCATGGGAGCCCCCCTGGGTGAGGACAGACGTAGCTCGGGGGAGCCCAAGGAGCCCCGAGAACGGGGCTCTCAGTGGAGGCAGAGGAGGGCCCCACCAAGCACCCGGCAGGATGGACAGGACACTAGGCAGGGCTTAGGAGGTAGCGGTTAGATCAGAGTGTGCCAGAGCGGGTCTCAGGGAAGGAAGGGGACCCCAGCGAGGAAGTTTTGGGGGTGAGCCCACGGCTAACTTTCATGTCCTCCTACCCCCCGCCCCAGCCCTTTCTCCCAACAAGCCTCCCACTCCAGGACATTGGTGTGTCTTGCGACGTTGGGCCTGGCAGGGCGGCTGAGGTCCGGAAAGCCTCGGCCTTGACCCGGGCCTGGACTGGCTGGCTGGGATTGATGCAGATAAGACCCTACCTGGGCGGGGCCAGGAAAGCCCCCCAGCCCCAGGGGACGGAGAGATGCTGGATGCTCCCAGCAAACCAAGTTTCCTTCAGCTTGGGCCAGTGCTCTGCTCCCCAGAGGACAGCCCCCCACAGGCCCCGGGCTGGGTCCCCCAAACTCCCACGTGTGCAGCTATTTTGACAGCACTTGTCAGGGCTGAACCAGAGCCCAGAACCCCCTCCGGCAGCGGGTCCCAGAGCTGGCATCCCGGAGCACTGGTGGCCTCTCGGCGTTCAGCGTTTTGGTGGAGTCCCATCCAAGAACATTTGGGTTTCAGAAATCAAGCTAATTAGGGTTCACCCAGGCTACCCTCTTCCCCCTTGTTTTAATTAGCAGGAAACTGACGAGGAACTTCTGTGACTGAGGACAGTTTTACAAGTTCCAAATGTTTCTTTGTTCCCCTCGGCTGCCCCCTCTGGGCTCCAGGCCCTCCACGCAGCCTGTCTGCCACCCCAGCCGGGTGTAGGGGGGTGGCCCCCCAGGTCCCCAGAGACAGGAACCCAGCCCTCACTCTGGGAGCAGTGGGCGTCCCCAGGGCCGGCCAGGGACCCCCAGGGAGAGCATGGCCCCGGGCAGGAAGGGCTCCACCCACCACCCACCTGCCTGGAGGGGCCCCTCCGAGCTGCAGGGGTGTCGAAAGCCGAGAGCGGGTAGGAGTAGGGACGGTCAGCAGGGGCCACTTCCTCGTCTTCCTTCTCTGAACCGTCACCGGAGCCCCAGCTGGGGGCGCCCACAGTGACCATGCAGAGGAGCTGGGGGCCGCCCCGGGGCCCATCCTTAGGCGTGGCCTCACTTCCTGCTGGGGGTCTTAGCTCTCACGGGGGCCTGGTCAGAGCCAGGCATTTCGCGGTCCTCCGTGCACGGTCCCCCGGGCCGCGGGCTCTCTCCTGCCGCGCTCCGGTGGCTGGGCGTCTGGGCACGGCCAGCTCTGCGGTGGCCCCATCACGCCCCACGCCATGCGCCCACCATCCACTTAGCCGACCCGCAACTGTGAGTTAGCACCCTCCCCAGAGTCTAAGGCTCTGGTGGCTGTCTGTGAAGCCCGGCCCAGTTCCCGACCCCCTGGCCTTGTGCGGGGTGGGGGGAAGGTGCCTGGTCCACACACATTGCCACCTGCCCCGGCCCTCCCCCCACTCAGCCCCATGGGCGCCGGGGGCCCTGGCCCTTTGCAGCTCCCGTCTCCTGGGAACTGCACGCAAGTCAAACCTTCGGGGTGGGTGGGAGTTCCGTTTCCCGGGCACAGAGCTTCGGTTTGGAACGATGCTAGTCCTAGATGGACGGGCCCACCGCGTGAATGTGCCCAGTGCTCTGAAGGGTGTGCATGCGCACGTGGTTAACGTGGGGACTGCACACGATGTCAGTTTTACGACTAAACCTTCTCGACGGTAGCCGCGGGTCGCTGCCAGCTGGTGCCGGCGGAGAGGCTCCTGGGGCGCGTGTCTCGGGGAGTCTGACCTCTCCAGCCCCTGCCCCGGCCCTCCCAGTGACCTCGGTTCTCTTGGCACGCAGATAACTTCTACCTGCCCCCCCAGCCCACCCTCCTGCCTGCCAACCACAACTTCCCCGGCGTGGCCCGGGCCGCGCCCGGCCACCCCATCGGCTCCTGCAGCCGTGACCGAGGCGAGGCCGGCCCCCTGCAGAAGGGTGCCAAGGAGTTCGACCGCTTCCTCCTGGGCAGAGAGAAGGCCGGCAAGGCGGCGGAGGGCAAGGAGCGGCCGGCGGCCGAGGAGGAGGGCAGCAAGGATCGGCACAAGCTGGTGCTGCCCGGGCAGGTGGACGGCCACTGCAAGGAGAGCGGTGTCACGCCCCGCGGCGCCTGCGAGGGCCGCCCCAAGCACCTCGCCTCCTGCCTCCTCAACACCAAGGTGCTCAACGGCGAGATGGGCAAGGCCGCGCTGGCCAGCTGTGCGGGAGGCATGCTGGTGCGGCCCGGCGCGGGAGTCACAGCCTCGGGGCGCTGCACCAAGGAGCTGGTGGGCCCCGCAGAGCCCGGGCCGGCCTTCAGCGAGTGCCTGGAGAGGCGGCAGATGCTGCATCATGCTGTGGCCTACACCGTGCCGTCCGGCCTGCCCGCTGGGCCACCCCCGCCCCTCAGCACGGCCGCCGGCTCCTTCCCCTGCCTGCAGCTGCACGCCGGCCCGGACGGGCTCTGCCCGCTGCAGGACAAAGTCCCCCGAGACCTGAAGGCCAGCGGGCCCACCTTCGTGCCTTCCGTGGGACACCTGGCTGAGAAGAGCCGTCCCTTCCAGGCCGCCGAGGCCTGTGCCGTGGCAGGTGAGGGCAAAGACCGGCACCTCGATGGCGCCTTGGCCCCCGAGCATGCCGTGCCCTACGGGGTCTCCTATGCCCACCTGAAGGCTGAGGGCAAGGGCGAGCGGCGGCCTGGGGGCTTTGAGGCTGCGCTCAACCCCCGGCTCAAGGGCCTCGAGTATCTCAACAGCACAGGCCCCGAGACCCCCTTCTCCGGGCTCCCCAAAGGTGGTCTGGACAAAAGTGGCTACTTCGAGCTGCCCGCCCACTCGCAGGACTGCGCCCGGCCAAGTCACCAGGACCCGCTGGGTGGGAAGGTCACCCAGGCCTGCTGCACTTTGGATAAGACCGCCGGCAAGGAGACCCCCTCAGGTCCCCCTGGGGCCCAGAAGGTGGCCCGGATCCGGCATCAGCAGCACTTGGTGACCCCCGAGGTGGCCCCAGGGGGCAGCGGGGCTGAAGCCAAGCGCAAGTCCCTGGAGCTGGCCTCTCTGGGCTACGGCGGGCCCCACCTGCCCCCGTGGAGCATCCAGTCGGGCCAGGGCAGCGCCATGGCCATTGGCGAGGAGCGCAAGGGTGGCAGCTACCTGGACCCCTTTAGCGGCAGCCTGCAGCAGGCCGCCCTCCTGCCCCAGGACCTGCCCGCCCCGCCTGACGAGGTCTCAGCCATGAAGAACCTGCTCAAGTACAGCAACCAAGCCCTGGTCGTTGGCCAGAAGGCGCCCTTCGTGGGTCTGGGCGGCCTCAAGGCCAGCTGTGCCCAGCAGGATATGAAGTTCCCAGCCTCCAAGGGCCCAGCCCAGGCCCCCAGCGAGGCTGAGAGGCCCGACTGTGCCCGAAGCCGGGAGCACGACACCCCGCACAGTGACGTGGAAGTGAGGCAGCCGCCCGTGGGCATCGCGGTGGCCCTGTCCCGGCAGAAGGACACGGTGAGCCGGCCAGAGATGGCCTACGGCGCCAACGCTGGGCGGCAGGGCCGGGCAGCCCCTGCCTTCAAAGGTAGGCCCCTTGGCGGGGAGGGGAGCGGGGAGTGGGCTGACCTGCCCTCGTGTGCCCGTCCGAAGCTTACCCGGGACGGGCCCTGGGCTTTCCCGCTGTCCCCTCCCCATGTCTGTAGTCCCGTCCCTCGCAGGGCTGACCAGCCCGCCCCCATCCCTCGAGGCCACCAGTTCCCCACACCTGCCTTTGGCAGGAGCCCCGGGGCCCACAAGGCAGGAGATCCTCCCTCGGTTCGACGGGCCTCTTGGCTCTGAGCGGGGTCCCTGCTTGCTTTAGCCGCTGGCTCCCCGGCCACCCCGACCCTTGACCCTTCTGCTATCTCCTACCCATGCAGCAGGTGGCGCGCCCCGTGCCACCCATGCACTGGACCTGGAGGCCGAGGAGGAAAGGGCACGGCTGTCTGAGGACCGCCTGGGGCTCGCTGGCCGGGAGCTGCTGCTGCAGTAAGAACAGGGCTTCGGCCATCGGGGAGGGAGCCAGGCCACGGCTCTGGGAGAGAGTGGGCCGGGCGGCGCGCTCCCCACCCCCCGGGCTTTGCTGGGGTTTCTGCCTGTGTCAGGGGTGGGGGGAACTCTGCTCACTCTCCCGCCACTGTGGCCAGGATGGACGCCCCGATACCGAGGCCCACCTGATCCTGGGGTGTCCCCGTGCCCCTCCAAGGTTGATGGCGACAGGATGGGGTGGAAGAGCTGGGTGGGTGGCCGGCAGCTGTGCTGAGCCCCCGTCACCCCCGGTGACCCGCAGGGACAACAAGGACCGCCTGGAGTTCTCCCGGATCCACCCGGCAGGCGGCTGCCCCGGAGACCTGGCCCCTCATCTTGTGATCGGCAGCGGTTCCTCCCTGCCGAGCGGTCAGCTGGGCGGGGACCCGGCCTCCCACCCGCACCCTGCCCACCCGCCCTGGCTGCCCCGCACCCGCAGCCCCTCCCTGTGGATGGGGGGACATTCCTACGGTCAGTGCTCCGAGGGCAGGCGGCGGGGGGGGCAGCCAGCGGGCTTGAAGGGCAGGGCTGTCCTGGGGCTGAGCAGCCCTCGGCCTGGTGCGGGAGGCCCCAGAGCGCGGGGCCCGGCCAGCCTGGGCTCCCCGCTCCACTCTGCCTTACTGCTGTGCCTTGTGTCCCCAGGCCTTGGGCATCCCGCCCTGCACCAGAACCTGCCCCCAGGCTTCCCCACCTCCGTGCCCGGCTCCGTGCCCTCCGTGTTCCCCCTTTCCCAGGACAGCCCTGCCCAGCTCGTCATCCTGCCCTCTGAGCCCACACCCCACACCGCCCCCCACGCGCTCGGTAAGAGCCTCCTAGGCAGGCTGCTTGTACGTGGGGCTGTCGGAAGTGGGTCCGAGGAAGGGAGCAGCCCGTGGGGGGGATGGGGCCGCGGGAAGCAGTCGAGAGGTAGATGAGCTGTCGGTGAGGAGGGCTCAGGGGCCTGGGGTGCAGCCCGCGTCCCGTCCTCGCTGGGTCTCATGGCTCCTCTGGCCCTGCCCACAGCTGACGTCATGGACCAGGCCTCCCTGTGGCCCCCCATGTATGGGGGCCGGGGCCCCACCCCCCACGTGCAGCACCCGGGCCAGCTACCCGTGTACTCCCGGTCCCAGCTCCTACGGCAACAAGAGCTCTATGCCTTGCAGCAGAAGCAGCAACCGCGGGCGGCCCCCATCCAGGTACCTGCCCCAGGCCTCACCCAGCGGGGACCCAGTGCTCCGCTCCTTCCCTCCCTCTGCTCCAGCCCAGCCTGGCCCCCCGGATCCTCCCTGTGGGATGATGCCCTGAGCCTCTCCCTCACCCTGACAGCGGAAGCCTGAGGACCATCACCTGGAGCTGGAGGAGCCCGCCCAGGAGAAGACCCTGAAGTCCACCCACAAGCCAGTTGCCTTAACCCCCATAGCCAAGGGCACCCCCTCACCGGCCACCGTAGGCCCTGTCAAGCTGTCACCTTGCTGCCACTCACCTACCCCAAAGCCCCCCACCAGCTGCCCCACAACGCCACCACGTCCCAGCGCCCCATGCACTTTATCCGTCTGCCCCTCGGGCAGCCCCGGGCCTGGCTCCAAGCTGCCCAGCTCCGAGGACAAGAGTGGGGAGGGCCGGCGGTCCGGAGCCGACCTTAGCACGTTGGAACCAGGTGAGAGTGGGCAGCGCTGGGCTGGCCGTGGCCCGCCCCCTTCCACGCAGAGGCCTTTTCCCACTTCTGGGCATGCAGAGCTGAACTGAGGGGGCTGCCCTCGTTGGACACCTGAAGAGGTGCCCTCACCTACCCAGGCCCCTGGTAGGGCCCAGGGCTCTGTTGCTTGTCCTCTGTTCTTTCTGTCCTTCCCTCTCCACTGTCCCTCCACGGGGGAAGCACTCAGGGTCCCCCCCGTCTCCTCCCCAGTTCCTGGCAGACGAGGCAGGACGAGGGTTGGGCTCCATTGGCCGCCAGTGACAGAGTGCCTGGCCTGCAGGACTGGTTCCCAGCCCTGAATCTGGGTCTTAGTCCCCCTCCATGTGACGTGTTCCCCGTTCCTGTCTCACCTGCTCCGAAGGCAGAGGCAGAGGGCTGGCGGGGACCCTTCCTCCCAGGTGTGAGTCAGGGATCTAAGGCCACCCTGTCCCCGTCTAGAGCAGGGCCCCCCGTACCCCCGCTGCCCCTCCTGACGATACCTGTTCTTTCACAGACCTGCCTCCTGGATATACCTGCCGGGCGGCCAGCCCCACCTTCTCCCTATCCCCCAGCGTGCACCCTCCTGACCTCTCGGACCCCAAAACTATGCAAACTGCAGCCCCCAGGGTCCAGCCTGAGCCAGTGAGGACGTTCCCGCCCGGGGAGCTGCCCCCGCGAAGCCCCCAGAGCCCACAGGAGCCGGGGTTGCCCTCAGGGGCCAGGGAGGCCACCCAGGACCTTGCCGCCACCCCCCACCCTGCCGAGCGGGGACCCCTAGGGAAGGCAGCAGACCCCAGCCCACTGGAGGGGCTTCGAGAACTGCGATGTGGGGCCCTCCTCGAGGGAGGGGGCCCCGAGGCCACTGGCCAGGCTCATTCTACTCAGGGAGGGGCTGCAGAGGAGGGGGCCACGGTGGAGGGGGGTGTGGAGGAGGGGCCAGGGCGCTCATCAGGGGCGGGCCCCCAGGCCCTGCAGCAGCAGAGAGGCCCAGACGCCATCGCCATCGATGAGGCCAGACCAGGCAAACAGCAGGCCCCCAGGGAAGCAAGGCCGGAGGAGGGGGCTGAGTATCAGGAGGACGAGCTGGAGGAGGAAGAGGGCCAGGGGTCAACTTTCAAGAATAGCCACCTGCCCAGGGCACTACGGGGCCTTGATGCCCTGGTGGCAGCCACCATCGACCTGGGGGACCTGCCAGGCATCAGCCCGCTGGACCCGCAGCTTGCCGCTGCCCCAGGGCCCCCACGCACAGCCCCTTCGCCCTGTAGCTCAGGGATTCATGGAATTGCCCTGCTCAGCGAGCTGGCTGACCTGGAGATCCAGCAGCAGAGGAGGGAGCCGGCCTTGCAAGGTGAGCACCGCCCCTCCCTCCGTGAGCCCTCTGGGGCCCCAGGGCAGCTGGCCAGACTGTGGGCTTCGGCTCAGCTGTCCCACAGTGGGGCCCCCGCAGCTGCCTTCCACCCCCGGCCCCGTCCGTGGCCCTGCTGGCTAGGGGCAGGGCCCTCGGCTTCAGAGGGGAGGCCTCTAGGGCAGCACCTCCCGTTGTTGCGATGTTCACAGGGCCCTGTGGGGACTCACAGGTGTCCTCCAAGGATGCCAAGGCCGTCAGGGGGCGAGGTGGCGAACGGGGAAAGCAGGAAAGGTTGTGCTCCCCTCTGTAGGCATCCAGCCCTGACCGCTCCCACCCAGGCCCAGGGGAGGTGGCCTGAGGCCAATCAGACAGTCCCCAGACCTCGAAACCACATGTCCCCTGCAGTTTCACCAGGGCTGGGGGCTGGGGTGCCGGTCCTTCCTGCGCCGGGGCTGACCTGCAGGTGGAATTGCTCCTGGGCTCCCAGCACCCAGAAGAGCCCTGGGGTACAGGCATAGGGTCTGGCGCTAGCCCGCGGTGAGCCCCGGACCAGAGCCCGTGGGGACCCCATGCAGGCCGGAAGACCCTCCTCCCTGCCTGAGCAGTAACCCTAGGGGGCCCCCAAAGAGACCCCCGCCCCGGGGGGAGCACCCCCAGCCAGGCGTTGTGCTCATGATACTTATAGGAAGAACCCAACAAAGTTCTCTCGGCTCGCCCACTTGTTCTCCTGGTGCGTGAAGCCCTCTGCTGCCCGCCTCCGGCACCCCGTGTGCTGTTTGGAGGGGATTTCCCCAGAGCCTCTGTGTCACTCTCCTGTCCTCCTAGACGGGCCCGGCGCTGTGCCGAGGGCAGCGTGCTGGGGAGCCCCTCCATGTGGGCACCCCACTGGACCCCGAGGAGGGCCTCACTTAGGGCTGGGGGCTGCAGGGTGAGGCGCCCCCCCCCCCCGGTCAGGGCTGGGGCCGCCCGGAGCCACCACGTGAGCGTGGCTGGCACAGAGTGTGACGAGCGGATGCTGGGCGCCGTGTGTGGCCACCCAGTCTGTGCATGTGAATGCCTGCTGGACCGGCGCCCATTCACTGAATGAACGCTCACGTGTAGACCACGTGTGTCCCCGTGTGGACTCTGCAGCTGCAGCCCAGGCCAGGCGCCCCAGTCGCCGGGGTATGTGGACCAAGGGAGATGCCATGGCCAGGTCTCCACTCCAGCCTCCCCTCCTGGAGCCCCCAGACCCCCACCCTCCCCTCCTGGAGCCCCCAGACCCTCACCCTCCCCTCCTGGAGCCCCCAGACCCTCACCCTCCCCTCCTGGAGTCCCCAGACCCTCACCCTCCTCTCCTGGAGCCCCAGACCCCCACCCTCCCCTCCTGGAGCCCCCAGACCCTC